AAAAAAAGGTAAGCCAGTCCGTTAGAGTTGGCATTTTCCAAGAAGTTTATTATAAGACGAAAATTGGATAAATGAAATATTGGCAAATAGCAAAAATAATTCAATATGAGATTTAAGAGAAAGAAAGTATGTTCAAACTTACCATCAATTCAGGATAGCCGAAACATTCGCGTAAATCTATGTATATAGGCGATTTCTGTCCACTTTTGAGCACAAACTCACCAAATTTAAAGACCTAAATAGAATAAGATTTTAATCAGTTCGAACACTCAGCTAAGAAAGTTACCTTTGAATTAAGCATTGAACGTAACAAATTTCGTTGACGAGCTCCATTCAGAGACTGTTCAACGAGCAACTCCATAGCGTCACTATTTATCAAAGCTCAGAATATAATGGGACTGGTATTCCCAGTATTCCGTTATATTGTTGGCACTATAGGATGGTACCAGAGGATACATATGGAAGTGTCCTAAGATACTAGACCACATGATAACACTGCCTACGGAAAATTGACTTGGGGACAGTGTTATCAAGTGGTCCCCTTTATAGTGCCAGGGTTTAGACTATGAAAGAAGATAACGGGAGAACCACAACACCCAAAAAAGCACAATTTCTATTTTTCCAATGGATTTATTCCCCACTTTCTATGTAACAGCTTTATTCAAGGCCATATACCCGCTTGGCGTTTCGTGTCGTAATCTCCGCGACCTGAAAATTCTAACTCATTTACTTTTTCCTCAAGCAATAAGATAAATAGAAATAAGATTTGGCTTCAAATATGAGATGTGATAAGATGTGGGAGTGTGTATTGATTTTGGGTAGATTCCAAAACTTTCTAGCTTTGACATAGAAAGCGAAGGTTTACTAGTTGATAATCACAGTGGAAAGTGCGAAACTTTGGAATAAAGTGGACGTGACTTTTCTAAGGATATTCACTAGTCTCGAAGTGTTTTCATCTACAATTTTCAAAAAACTGATAACAATTTTCAACTTTGTGACAAATTAAATTTCTGAAGATAATGCGCTTTGAAGGTGGAGTTTCAGGATTTACAATCTAAATATAAAAACGTATTATCCTTTCACTTTGTCAAAATCTTGGAAATTCAATAATCTCACACTTTTCTAGTAACTGAATCTGTCGTGTTTCTATTGAAGATAAATGTTTGTCTAAGCTTTCAGTGAATTTCTACTTAAAATCTAATGCTTTCCCAACAGATTTTCTCTAAGCAGCCGTTTACTTTCTTCAAATGCATATAAGATAAATAATGCCCCATATCTACTTTACCTTATGAAGTTCTCTAAACTGACCATTTAAAATTCCGCAATAACTTACGAAACGGGGTATTAAAGACCCTTATTACCTCTTTTGGATCCTTTCCCATAAAAGCAGCTATCATTTCACAAATGGCTGCTAAAGCGCAAGGCTCATTGCGATTGAACGATGCGAACTGCAAGAGTCATACCTTTTATAAGAGATCAAGACGATTTTCTGAAACAAAGGCTAGCCCACCTTATGCAACTGTTTTGCAGAGTCACTTATAGCTTCTTTAACATCAGATGGCAGCTTTTTATCATTAATCTTCGGATACATGAAAGGAGCATCGGTTTCTATCAACAATCGATCTAGGGGTATAGAGCCATTGCGCAAAGCCGCCTGCACACCATTTGGTAGGCGGTCCTTCCATAGGAAACCTAGAAGAATTCTATTTTAAAAGGTAAACATTTGAGTACTGTGATATCTGATGACCATAAGCGAATAACTGTTTATCCTCACCAGTCAAGCCTATATACAAGCCCATATCAACGTATTTCTTTGCTTCCTCTTCAGTACCAGTGAAACAATGCATAACAGCTGGCGGCAACCTGCAATTCTGACAGATGCCAATGATGTTCAAGTAAAATGAGTAAAACAGTAAATTCACCAGGAGTTTATTACTGCAAACAAAATGTTCTTTGAAGATAAGTACGCAACTTTTCAGAAAAAAAATGACCTTTCCCCAGCATCGCTCAATATCCGCACCATCTCTTCATGGGCTTCTCTTTCGTGTATAAACAGCGGTTTGTTGAGTTCACAAGCTAACTCTACCTTTAAAAATTTAGCAACCGTCGTGGTATTATTCTAAATAGTTGGCAAAAAAAAACTACCTGTTTCCTAAAAACATTCTTTTGAACATCTTGTGGAGAGAAATTCCTGTTAAAGTCTAGCCCGCATTCTCCTACGGCTACGCATTGTTTGTGAGACTAGAAGCGAAGTCAAAAACATTTAGAATTCAGATTTCTTGGAAATTGAACAAAATTCTTCACTTCAAAGATATTTGGTGCAAAAACAGATGTACATCATTAATTACCTGTAGCGCTCTCAGTGTATTTAGCGAGTCTTCACCAAAACCTTTAGCATCATGAGGATGAATACCTAAGGTATAGAAACATGCATATCATATTAAGCATAAATCACTTGAAGAGATAAGATAGCTAAAGAGTCAAAAATTACCAGCGGTGAAGTATAGAAAGCCTGGCATAGTCTCGGCAAGTTTCTTACATTCCAAACTAACTTTCTCACATGTTCCTGTGATCATCAGCTTGGAAAGACCTAAGAATAACATGTTTACTAGTCAATATGATTGTTATTCTAAACATTTTCAGTGTTTGAAGCAAGAAAAAGAAAACGGAGTGTTACGAGCTTGGGCATAAAGTAAGCATAGCTGTTTTTTCTTAAGAATTAGCATAGTGGACT